CTGAAAAGCTGTACTTTTATTCTGAAAGACATTGTACAGGTAAATTTCCTGAATAGAAATTTGAAAGTAATGTTTAGCTTTGTAGTTGATTACCATTCTTTGCATGTCAGGCCAGGCTGATCTTTTCATAGTGAGAGAAAACTCGGCCTCTATATTTTTGTAGATGTTTTGTTTTGTGCCTTCTTGTGTAATTATTTCAGATGATGTGACTGAGAAATTATAGTAAAAGCAGTTCTTTTATATTCCTTTTTCTTGTGGTAACTTTGTAAGGAGTCTTTTATTTCTTTTCTTAGGAATGTCCGTTGTATCTATCTGTCGTCTTGCTTTTTCCTCATTAGTGTTATCTGCAACCAAAATAAAAAAGCATCATTTTCTCCTTTCTTTTATACTATCCTACAGATATCTGGAAACTCGTATGACTGTTTGCTGAGACTGCTGGCTGATCCCGAGTCGGAGGTAACCTATACCACTGTTTGAATATGTTTGTGGTTATTTCTGTTTATAATCCTATAGATTGAAATTTTAACAGTTTTTGATGCTTAAAAGAAGTCGCATGGTATTGGTGCAATTTTGAGTTTTTTTCAATTGCTTCTGAGGGTCATCTTTTAATTAAGTGAAACATCGTTGTGTTACCTGCCTTTATTATTATTATCTTCTTTTCCGACATATGCTATACTGCTTACTCACAACAACACAACAATGTTTTCCTTTTTTCTTATGTAAATGTTGAGTATGTGTCTGAAAACTGGTTCTTTTTATTAACTGGAGATCTGAGCCTTCTTTTTTGGGATACATTGTCAAAAATCTACAGTGTTCAGTTACAGACACTTTGATCTTTCTTTCAGCCTCTGTAATATTCATAGCCAGACTATTTACTTCTCTCTCAGCATGTTGAGTTTATTTTGCTCCATGTCATGCTGATGGCACTAATTCTTGAGTCATCAGCACCAGTTGTACTTAATCCTTTACAAGGAGATCATGAAGTGAAGCCTTTAGGAATTTCTTTGTTTGTGTTTTGAAGTCATTTGTATTTTGTTGTCAGATTGGTATCTGAAACTTTGCCAAAGCATGTTAAAAGTGTTGTTTTGTTTTAGAGTTAAAAGTAGGAAGTGTGACTTTGTATTTATTATTTTTAAAGTTTAGGGATCAGGTTTTTGCAAAATTGGACTGGTGGAAGGGGGAAAAAAGGGACTGGTGGAAGGGGGGGGGGGGGGGGAGGTAATTCTTGATTGTGTGTTTACTCAAAATTATTCTATCACTGAAAGGCAAAAGCTAAAAGTTCCTGTTTCTCATATATATCTTCTCTTATATTTTTTGTTCGACAGATATCTACAGTGAAACAGTGCTTGCAGGACCTGGAGCAGTGTGTCAGTTACTTGGGCCAGGGTCACCCCACATTGGTTCGAATTCTTATGGTACGAATCTATGACCTCTTGTAAATGCTATACAATGGTTTGCTTACAAAAAAAAATTAATTTAGAAAAATATATTTTAAAATCTTTTTTTTTTTGTGTGTGTGTGGAAGAGGTAGATTGAGTTGTTAATGACTGTAAAAAGGTTACAGTGACAGGAAGACTAAGAAATTCAGGTTAATTCATTTTTAGAGTTTATGTGAATTATAACGTATATTTTAAATAATTTGATCATTGTTCTCTTGATTTTTGTCAGTGTTTATCTCTCTATCACAAGAAAGGTATGATGTGACATAAGTAGTTCTTTGGAGTAGAAGTAATGATGATAATAATTGTATTTAACTGAAATATGGTGTCTATCCACACTCAACAACATGTTCTGCCTGTGTGTTTTACGACTATTAATTATGTAAGTGACACCTCTTTTAAAATGCGGGTGATTGGCGTGTGCTCTGATGTGATTTGCTCCTTCTTTACTATCAAACATCTATTTTGTCCTTATCTCTCCTTTTTTATGTTTGTTACTCTCTTGTAACACCTGATCTTCATCACTTATATGACCTAATTGTGTTGCAAGTGCTGTAACACTCTTTAACTCTTTACCAAAACAAACAAATTTGTTAAACTTTTTGTATGTCTATCCTTGTATTCCCCATAGAATCTGAACTGGTTGGACAGAGGCCCTGAGCTAACAGCTGTCTACCAATCTTTCATTCTGAACCTGGTATCTGCACACATCAATTTGCTGAAACCTTGTCTTAGGAACCTGATCAAGAAATTCATACCAAGTGAGTACTATATGTATGCATGTTCTCATCACGTTTTTGTCAGTAAATTTTTAAATTTTAAATGTCAATGAGGTTTTAGAATTTAGTGACTGCTTTCATGTTACAATTTCCCATTGTTCTGTTAAATCAAAATGGTTACAGGAGAAAAAAAAATTCAGGCGCAAAAGTTTTACTTCAATTTCACTTTGTATCCAAATTTTTATTGCTGGCGCCATTTTTTAGCATATTTGTTGATTTTCCTGAAAAGACTCTTACCCTTTCTTATTTAACCAGCATGTTAGTGTTTTAGCATCCATAAATGGCAGCCTGCATTGTATGTTTCCCAGGAAGTTGAGGTTGTTTCAGAATACTATCAGGTCTGCACATAGAATTTGCGCTATACAAATGCTATCTATTATTATTGTTATTATTAAACTTGTGCTGTTTGATCTTGTAAAAGATCATGGCGTCTCTGGCATTTACCATTGTGTAAGGCTTTTTCCTGTGTTTCAAGCATATGTGTTGTGTTGTGCAGTAGTCTGATGACTAACCCAGTCTGTTTGTTTAATAAGTTGAAGTACCCAATATTTTTCACATATTTTTTAGTTCTTGTCCCTACAATAAAATCAATTTTTCATCATTTTCAGATCAGAAAAATGCTGAGGTGGATGAAATGAAACTGAAGGTTCAGCATGATTTTGGCCATGTACACGCCTTGCTGAAGTCCCTGTCACATCTGGTGCCAATGTAAGCATTGCTGACTGTTGTCGCGATTTGCGTTCCTTTATGAAACTTTTTTTCCTTGAAGAAATGGTGAAGAAGAGTTTTTAAATATCTTCGTTTTAGTTTAGCCCTTTGTTGTTTTTTAATTGAACAGTTGAATGATTTTTCCTTTCGATTTGGTTCATTTTATTTGGTGATTCTTTTGGTAGAACATATCTATGTTTTTTAAAATCCTTATCTTTTCATTTGTCACAGTCACTAAAGATAATGCTTGCTCTCATTGTGGATGACGTGATTGCAATTATTTTATTTGTATATTTGTTCAGCTACTTTTTTGTTTTTAATATCTATCATTGAAATCTTCCGACCGGCTCAGGGTCACAGTGTAGTTGATCGGTAAGTTTTTCACAGGTCTGTGATACTAATGCTGGTGTTGCAGTCCTGCTTCATACAGCTTGTCACAGATAGAGGTGGCATCTTAAATAACTGGACAGTATTTTAAAGATTTGTTTGACATAACAAAAAACATTGAGTGGGAAAATGTCATTAGTCACAAATTTCAATTTTTAATTTTTTCTTTTGGCCCTGATTAGGCTTATTTCATTTTGTCTATGGACACCATTTTTATCAGCAACAGTTATTTAACAGTAACATTATGTGTAACATTCATATTTAAAAGTTTACACAAAAGAACGACAGTGACCAATTGGAAGATGTGAAAAGAAAGGCATTGGATCTCAATACTTCACCTGTGACTAATGCCTGTTTTCCCCATGAGATCTTAATTTCTTTCTTTCCTCTTTCCCCAGGACAAGTGTTGTGATGATGTCTGTGCTGGAGGAGCTCTTCCCCTATATCAACAAAGGTTCCTTCCAGTTTGAGCACTACAGCCGAAATGTTCTGTCAGTGTGTACCTACATGCCGGCCCTGCGCATGGAACTTCTAGAGCTGGTGGTGAAGAACATGTTGAAGTTGGATGTGAGTGCTTGAGAAAAAGTTTTCCTCTTTTTTTTGTTTTGTTGTTGTTGTTGTTTGTTAACCTGCACTCTCTTTCTTTTTAAATTGTTTTTAGTCCTTCTTTTATCTGTGCTGTCCTTATGACTTTTTTTGTTTGTTAGTGTTCCCTTTTTAAAGCTCTGAATGACTTGTCTTGATGTGCTTCTCTGCACAACAGACAAGCACTTATATACCTTTTCTTCCCCCAATCATTTTTATTTGGCTTTAAAAAAAGAATAACAACGGAATGGCTCATTGTGTACCTTGAATTCATTTCACTGGCTAGCTTCTGATGATTTGAATTTGAAATGTTTCAGGTACGGTCGTCCCGTACAGACATCAATTCAGCGATTGGCATCACGGCAGACAGTATGGATGATGTGAAAGATGAAGAGGAGGAAGATGCACTTTTTGACATGGTAGGTTCTTTTTAAATAGACTTTCATTTTTTGTTTTTTGTTGTTGTTTTTTTTGGTGTTTTTTTTTTCGTTTTCAGGCTTGTATATTAATTATTTCATAACATTATCCTTCTGATTATGAGGGTCCCTTTCAATTGACATGGTGATTTTAGGAGTTTCTCTTCCTTTGTTTGTGTAGCTTTTTTTCCCAGAAATAAATTAGAACTGAAAAATATCACAGATTAGTAGGTGTGGGATGATCTCCTGTTTTGCATGATCTTAACTGTTTGTCTGTGTCGAGCTGGTCTAATGGTTTTTTATCATAGATTAATCAGAAAAGCAAAGTTTCTTTCCTAATTTTTTTAATTACCAAAGTTTCTTTCCTAATTTTTTTAATTACCCAAGAATGGAGTAGTTAAAATGGCCATTGGCACTGATAAAAAAAAAAAATTCCTTGGGGTGGCAAATATTTTTAAAAAAGTTGTGTTTGGTGTAAAAGAGACGGACATGCAATTATTGTAACAATGATAGAATGATAAAAATACTGGGAGAAAAGGTTGAGAAAAGATTGGAAGACAGGTTGCACATAGGTATGTTGTAACTCTTGAGTGTGCATCCCTTTACCTCAAAGGTAGCAATCTTTGATTAACTACCCGTCTCTTTCTCTTTTTCTTATTTTGTGGTACACTTTCCCTTTTCAGGAGGATGTGAAGTCAGACATGAAGGATGACTTAAAACCAGATGTTAAGGGGGAATGGGATGGGGACTTAAAGTGTGAGAAGGAGAAAGAAGATCCAGAATACGATGAAATGAAATCAGAGGCTGTGAAAGAACGTTTAGCGGCAGCGCTACCTTTGGCCACCTCTCTCGACGCTGTGATGTCACTGACTTTGCAGTTTGTTAAGGAAAGCTGCCACCCTCAAGGTGAGTTTCTTCTTGCTTGTCTTTTCCTTCACAACTTTTTATATCTTTCCGTATTTCTTTAAAAAAACTTGTGTGATTTGAAGTGAGCTGTGTTTATGTCGGTTTCGAAAGTGAGCTGTGTTTATGTCAGTTATGAAATATCCATAATGTTTTGAATGCAGAGCTTTGAAAACCTACTTTATTTTCCGTCTCTCAATTAATCTATATAATGTTGAACGATTATTTTCCCAAAAGTTTTAAATAAAATCTTTGCAGTGTCTGTGTGTTTTTTGTGGTACTTTACTGACTGAATAAAATTTTTTCTTAAGAATTTATATTTCACAATTGAAAGTAATGAAGCAAATTCTGAGTGAAAAATCTCCAGATAGACAAGTTTCTTTCCGTTTTTTTTTCTTTTGCAGCTAATGCACAGTATGAGGCGAATACTGTGAATTGTTTTAGTGAAAGACAGTATTTAGAGTTTTTCAGAAAGAAAAAAATCCAATTACTTAAGGTTTCAAATATTTGGGTGAATGCTATAAGTCTCTTTGCGGTGCCCTATTGTGTTTGTCATATTCAATGAAGTTTTGTATTTCTCTCTCTCCCGCCACAGGTCAGCTTGACTGGGCTGTCACCAAGAAACTATACAGAGAGCTTCTGTCAGTCTTTGACAAGTATATATTCCCCACCCACGCCTCCTGCCACGTGCAGTTCCTCCTCTTCTTTGCTTGCAGCTTTAATGAGGTGAGTTTGGTCTGGAATATTTTGTTTCTTTAGATGAATACATAATTAAATAGGATTGATGTTCAGGTTAAAAAGTAAAAGTTAAGGTATCTGTCGAAGAATTTTCATTTAATTTGTACGTTAAGTAGTTCCAAGACTGTTGTGCCCCAGAGTTATCCCTTTAAAAAATATACAATGAATACATTAGCAAGTTCCTTGGGTATTTGATCTAGAGCAGAGTCTCTCCTGTCTTTAACTACAGTCGAACCTGCTCTAATAACCACCTGTCCAAGACATTCACATCATGTATGAACAACCGCTTCCCTACTTGCATTTTTTCTGTACTATGATGCTGTCCAACAGGACCCCTTGTCTAAAATGAGCACTTTTCTATTTTACAATGGGACCGGTTATGTTTTGTTTAGACAACTTCTTTGATTTTTCTTCAGTCGTACCCAGGTTGCATTGGTAGCCAATGCTTTGTTTTTATAGTGTAGTACTTGAGGAAAATAAGTCGTTTGTAATTTTTGATAAGTGCAAAATGAGTTGTCATTTAAAAAAAATTTTTTTTTTGTAACTCCTCTTTTGCACATATATTTGATGTTGGATCTAATGCTCTGCACCAGTAATAAGAAGAGATGTTTCTCAGTTGTACTCTGTAGATTGTCATTTGAACGTGTGAACTATGAACTCTGAAATGATGTGCACATCCATTAGTTTGTTTTCTAATATATCACAAAGTTTTAGTCTGAGCTCTGAGGATGTTTTGTTTTGTATATAAGTAAGTATTATATTATTATTTTTTTTTTTCTCCTTCTTAATAGGCGCTTGCAGATGGCTTCATAGACTACCTTTGGAAGAAAGTAATCAACCCCTCTACCCAGTCAGTTTATAGGCAAACCGCTGCATGCTACATTGGCAGTTTTGTTACAAGAGCTTCATATATTTCAATAAGGTAACCATATAAAATATAATTTAATGTTCAGTTTGTTTAAAAAACTTTTGATTTTTCATTAAGTTTCTAATTGTTTTAAATGGTACTAGTTTCGTGGCCTTAATTTTGAAAATGAATTTAATAGAGGTATTATTAATTTGCAATTTATGTTTATGTTAAATTACAGAGGCATTTCATGAGAAAAAATCCTTTGTTTTTAGTGTAAAGAATGCCTGACTGCCTGGTTTTCAGTATGTGTTTTATTGTCCAACAATTAATGTTGGCTGTATCGTCAGATGTCAAGGTTGATTTGTGCAGTGCTGTGTTAAAGTTTAAGTGAAACTCATTTCTCTCTCTCTCTCTCTCTCCCTCCCTCCCTCTTCAATTTTTCTTCTTTTGGGAAGTAAGAATATCTTGGTATTCCATTCCCTGGTTCATGACTGTCTCTGCCCAGCACCTAGATCTGTCTAATATTTATAACATGAACTCGGCCAATTTCTGAAAGTTTTCAGGGAACACAACTAACCCCTTAGCCTCAATCTCTTGCAGCACTTGTCGGGGCATTATGGAGCTGATGGCACGGTGGTTACACTCGTACCTCGACCAGAGCAGTGATCAACAACACAAGGCAGACTTGGCGCATCACGGGCCGTTCTACTCGGTGTGCCAGAGCCTCTTCTACTGTTTCTGTTTCATGCACAATGACATCATGCAGCTCAAAGATGGTACGTTTCTTCCGTTATGCGCTTTTTTTTGTTTCCTGTTTCCTCCTTTCTCCGTGGATCTTATAGGTAGATTAGATGATTGTAGGGTTGTAAATGTTTTAATTAAGTATGGGTTCAGGAATACAGTCAAATCTGCTCTACCAGCCACCTGTCCAAGAGAATCACCTGTACAAAGGACTGCTTCCCACTTACCTCCAATTGGCGCTCATATGACCTTATGCAGGTGCGAGCGTGTAAAGGTTCTACTAAAAATAAAAACTTACCTCCAAGACGTCCACCTTAGACCTGCGTCCTTGACAACATGTGGTTGTCTTGGACAATTTTGACTGTATTTTACCCCTTTTATTAGGTCCGTTGCTTTGCAGCAGCTGTGTTGTGTTTACAAAAGTACTCTTTGATTACAGAGTGGTTCAGGATTAATTTTAAATTGTGCCTTGGCAAGCCTTCTGTTCTTCCACAGTCAAGGTGTCTTCAACATGCACAATGTGTTCACGAATTCTTTTTGTAATTTTGCCAGAAGTTCTGGTGCTTGCTTGGTCCTTCCTTTGGGTTTCAGATGTATAAAGCCTTAAAAAATCCTAGTTTTCTTTGTTCATGAATGCAGGAATCCGACATGTTTTGAAGAACTTGGGCATAAGTGGCAAGCACCTACAGTAAAGCCTGGATACTATATCCTTCATGGGACCTGATGATCTCTCTGTGTTAAAGAGGAAGGAAAAACGAGGATCTGAAATTACTTTTTTGTGACAGGAATTTCGTGTTTAAATGCTTTGTGCTAAACTTAGTCTTTTTTTATTTTCTAGCATCTCTGTAATTTTCATTTCTGACTTTTCTGCACGACTCTTACCACTTCTATGATCTGCTTCTTTGTTTTTCCCAGGTCACAAATGGGCTGTTTCACTGAACTTTCAGCGCATCATCACCAGCAAACTGAATCCTCTCAGGGTGTGCCTGCCCATTGTCGTGAAAACATTTGCTTCAGCCACAAGGTCAGTGCTCTTCAATAATGCTTTTCTTTTCTGTGTTTGTCTATACATCATGGTTGTTAAATGATTACTTAAGTCTGATATAGTTTCATGAAGACTTAGCTTCAGAAAATTTTTTTGAGACTATTGCAGTTAGTTGTATTTAATGAGTTCATTCAATTATTTATGATAAAAAAAAGGATGATGATGAAAGTAATGGTTTTCTTGTTCTCACATTATTCTAGGATGCACCAACTAGCGTTTTGTGACACCATCATTGAGCGTAACAACCGCTACACCCTGCCTGTTGCTGTTTCGTCTTTTGCTCTTGGGACGTGTGATCAGCGACAGCTGGAGTCTTATTTCCCCTTTGACCCATATCTCCTTCCCAGGTAAGTCATTTGATTAGAACCACGTTTCAGAGAACATTAATGTATTGAACTTGTCACAATGCATAAGAAAAAACCCCCCAACAAAAACGACACTACAGGAAGATTTCCTCTCAAATTAAGTACAGTCCATGCCGGCTTTAAGCACGGTCGTCGGGAGAAAGCTTAAGCGTGCTTAAAGCCGAAGTAGAGTGCGAAGTAGACATAATCCAGAGATTTTCATGTAGAAAATTTCTCGTGCTATTTCCCTTTGTTTGTAAGTAGGCCTATAGCGGTCCTGGAAAAGTGTGCACTGTTATTTAGACACCCGCCATGGTAGTTTTTGTTCGCTTGTTTGTTTTTGTTTTGTGGTCGAATGGGAAATGAAAACTTATTTAGACGGCCAGTCATGATACAGCACACTAGGCCTACACACTGCCTGTGCGTACCACTGCCAGCTGTGCCACTCATACCACCGCCTTCATCCCACCTTGCGCGTGATACACAATCAGGATTAATCAGGGTCAAAGGTGAAATTTCAGCCAGCCTCCCTTTATCCTCTCCCTGACTCTCTTTGTATTTTTTTTGGTCTTGTGTAGCTTTGCCCTAGGCCTAGGCTAGATCCTATATCCGCGCGGGCGGCTGTGTGCATCTGCCTTCCTCTCCGCCCGTGTGAGTGTGTGTGTCCATCACTTGCGTTCTTTGTGTTTCTCTTGACTCATTCCACTGCTGCTGTGTAGACTGTGTTCGAACTTCGATGGGTCATCATGAAAATATTGACTGTCTTGTAAATGAAGCGTGCTTGAAGCCGAAGTTACCGTGCTTAAAGGCATGTAATTTATATAGCAAAAATTCGGTAAGAGCTGTTAAGCTGGCGTGCTTAAAGCCGGCACGGACTGTACTGTTGCATAGGTGGGTATGCTGAATGTGAATGTAAAACTGATTTCCTTCCATGAAAAAAGGACAGATCACAGTGGTATTGTCGTTGTCGGGTTTTAAAAGTGTTTGTGTGTACTACCATTGGTCGGAACCTTCAAGGTGGCTGTGTTGTTTGGTTAGCCTCTGCGCTATCACGAAAGGCCTGAGTTCAATTCCCACATGGGGAGGTCTTTTATTGTATAGATTATCTATGTCTGTTTCCTGTAATATTGTATCTCTCTTAGTCTGGGTTAGCCCTGATAGACAGGGGTCTGCTCTTGCCGCTGTGATCTAGACCATTCCAAAGCGAGAAGCTATTGTTTTGAGGTCTCTTCCTGGAATTTTTTGTTGCTTTTGTGATTGGGAATATTTGTCTTATTCAGCTTGGACTATTATTATGCTCCTGGACTTGGTGTTCATGTGTGTCTGTTAAAAGCTATTTTCTTCTTCTTCTTCCTCATTCTCTATTTTAAAAGCTCTTGAAATCTTTTATTTTCCTTCAGATCCCGCATGTACATTACGCCACTATATCGAGAGTACTCAGGCAGTTTACCCGAGGAACAAGAGTCCGGTGACGAGGTGAGTTTGTGCTTCTTATCTTAAGCCATTTTCTTCTCATTCACTGGGGATTTGAAGTGTTATTTTATTTTTATTTTTTTGAAGATTAACTCACTTCAGACGGGTCACACAACAGTTGCGTGACCCCCGCCATGACGCTCGCGACGGGTCTCACAAGCCCTGCGTGACCAACTTTGGAATTTTTTTTTCGCTCTACAAATCACGCACGGATCGCGAGACCCGCCTCGTACCCTTGTTTGGCCAAGCCTGAGCTACTTAGACTTCGTTTCGTATCTCTGGGGCCGGTAGTTTTTAAGTTATTGAAGGTGAAGGACAGTGACCCCTACTGGGGTTGAACAGACCGGAACTCGCGCTTTGTTTTTTTCTATACAGCTCATAGTAATCCGACAGTCGCGTCGTAGTAACGGTCGAAGAAGTCGCATGAACAAGAATCACATAATTTCGCCGTTTTCTATACTTCTGTGCGTTTTACTAGTTCTAGTGTCTCAGAATATGATGTGTCTAATAGTTAGGATCCTGGATATGTACCCGAACACGGCCTGAGTCGTAGTTCTAGGGCTAGATCTAGCACTAGTACCGGTGTTGTTTTTCGCGCAACGAAATCACAACGTCGTGCCGTACATCTGTCTCATGTAATTCAGTGTATGGGTCTGAATCAATGCACAGACCAGCTTTTATATTTTCACCAAACACTTGCACATGTATACAAATCAAACCAGAACACTTTGAACTTTTATTTTTGTTGTTGCAGTGAATTTCATTCTACTTGTCACGTCTCTGGAAATTTTTCGAAAATCAAATTCATGCCAATTTTTAAAAAATCATACAAATTAAAGTATTAGACTTAGACAACTTTAGTTTTTTTGTATTAGATTAAGCTTGAATGTTACTTTACTGTGTCAAAAAATGATTACAATAGGGTAATTCTGAGAGTTGTGGTGATTTATTGAAATACCCCCCAAAACGCCAGTCTTCAACGCTTGTGACTGGTGAAAGGGCCCAGTCGCAAGTGAGTTAAGTTCTTTTTATTTTTCGCTGTGATGGTTTTCCTATTGGCATTAATGTGTGCAAAAACTGTTGTGCTCCTATCTTTTGACAAAGTGGCCAATGATTGTTTCTGACGCTGTGAAACTGAATCTCAAAACTTATTAATGTGAAGTTAACTGTTGTGACACCCTTAACTGTGGACTGTAGTCATAGTGCCTTGTTTTTTTTTTTCTGAATTTTTTAGAAGTTAGTACATGTACAGTTGTCTCTGAAGGGTCATGATTTGTACACATACATATCGTTATTATCATCATTTATCAATTGAATTTTATTTGTGTGCATGCATTTGATAGAAATATGGGTTTTTAAAAATTCTCTTTTTATGTGTCCTTTGCTGCTGTCTATTTACCATTGCTGTAAAAGTGAGATTTCTTACATACATGTATACAACAAATTGTGAAGTCTAGAACTCTTCTTTTGTCAAAGCAAGTTTTATTTGAGTTAAGAGATTGTTAAAGATTGGGATGGGAAACTCATTTTTAGGGCAATTGGTTCAATGATTTAAAAATGGCATTAGGTAATTTGATGAGCTGCTTCATTTATGAAGATGTCTGACGATACCTAAGATTTTTAGTTGTGGGGTATCTTCCCATTCGAGGTTGTGACCAATGAATCTATTATTTCTCTGTTCTGCAGGACGAAGATGACTTCTTACCTGAAGAAGACGACTTTGGGCATCACCCGATCTCAGACCACATCAGCATGTCCCTTGGGAAAAGTCCTGTGGATTTCTTGCACTACAGCACCTCTCCTGGGTTTAAACATGGATAGGTTTTTTTCTGAGCATCGGGAACTGAGCCAGGCTGTGTGCCACTTGCAGCACATGGTTTTAGACAGGTGCTTGGGTGTACAAGGATGTGTTGAGTTGTGTTCAGACTGAGTGTTGTTCTTCAGAAAGTTTCCTGAATTTGGAGACGAATGATTCTGTTGGATTTTTGCTTCCATTACAATTACTGTCCTTGTGCTGTTGGCATTTTATTTTTATCTACCTTTTTAGTAAGTTCTATGATAGAACCCCATAAGATTATCTCTGAAAGTAAACAGACCATGGATTGGTCGTCCTGGGTTCCCCCCCCTCCCCCCCACCCTATCTCGATCACAGACAAAAGGATTTATGAAATTCCCAGACTGAAGAACGCACTAATCTCACAGCTGGATTACAGAGGTTGAAATTCCTAAGCCAGAAGTGGTTTTATAGAAGGACTCGGCTACCAGTTGAATGACTTTGCCCAGAGACTTAAGTGAGAAAATGTGACTTACGGAGACTCCAGAAATGTGGGTTTTTAACACTCTCCTTGCGGACATGTTTTTTTTTTTTGTTCAGTTCTCCGCACGCTCTGCTAGAAGCCAAGCAATTAGCTGGAAACACAGCCTTTTGACATGTTTTAAAAAAGAAGAATTTGAAGTCAATTTTCCTGCTGCTGAAATTATCTGGATTGAATTGGAAAGAGAATTGATTTGAGAATCTTTACCCCTGTACTGTCCCCCACGCATTACTTAGCAGTTACGAGGAGAATTGTTCAATTAGTCAGTTAGTTTTTATGTTACAATTACGCCAGTAGGCCTAACTTCCTTATTTATGGTGCTATCGACTTACAATTTCTCACAATGACAGAGGTTTGCATAGCCACTATGTCAATAAAGCAAAGTTGTTACCAATCGGTATTTATTTTTCAACAAAGTTAAATATTACAAAATATGTTTTAAAACTAAAAATGAAGCTGAGAAAAATGTATCTGTTCAAACTGACATTCTTAACCCAATTGCACCTTCCAGGCCTGGCAGGAAGGCTTTTCCTGTTCCCTAAGAGAAGGGACAACTTCGCAAAAGCACCCCTCTATATTTTTTTAAACAATCATAGCAAAACAAAAATCAAATAAGCAAGCCTTCTAATTTAACCCCTTCACTGCTGACCACTGTGACTCCCCATATCCTGGAAAATTTTCCCGGAACCGCAAGAAATCATAGGTGACATCCCTTATTTTTATTGGTCCTTGGTGCTCTTGAATGAAGTCAAAAGTATAACAAAGTATATATTTTCTTGAAGAGAAATGAATGGACTTTCCAAGTAGACTATGTGTGAGGGTATTATTTGAAGGAAAAAGATTTTGAGAGAGAGTAAAAGATTGCATAATATAGAAGGAAGATTTTTTTTTCTTACCTTGCTCACAAGTAGGGATGACTGGAACTGGTAATTTCATAACTGAGAAGCAATCATTCAGATCTGTCAGAAATGAGAAAGATCCTTTTTTTATTAGAAATATATTTGTTGCAATCGTTCATCCGTAGGAAGATTAAATATGGGTTTTTTTCCAATTGAATATCTTCCACTTTCCTTCTCTGGTAGTAGTAAGTAGATCTAGATCTGGCTTTAATGAATTTGGGAGAAAAACTGAAAAACAATTTTGATAGTGCTCAGCTATTTGAAATGCTTTACAAAGAGGTTTTGGATGGGGCTATGCTAGTGTTATCAATGCTAATAAGATGCGTAAAGATAAGACCAAATTGTTGAATAAACCTTTGAATTTTAGACTTGAGGCTAGGGCAACGGTATGGTCACTTTTAAAATGACATCCTAATCTAAAATAACAACAAAAATATAAGAAAGCAGGTGCATGTAGAGATATAATCTGCAGTGTTTCAAAACAAGAGCAAGACAGCACAGTCAGGAAAAGTAAACATGTAGCTAGAATCATATTTAATATTTACCTTCGCGCTCATCGACTCGTTCTTCCTCTTGGTTTTTGTAGAATCTTTGCTCACCTGGTAGAAGCAGATTCTTTTGATGAAGCTGGGTAATGAAGACAGGGGGCCCCCTTCTGAATGATGATGATTTCTGTTCTTCTCAAGATCTAGGTCCGCAAAACACCCGAGTGGCCACTGTTCTACTACCCGACCGACTCGGTCTCTTGTTGATCACACCAGTGAGTGAACGAGTCCCTCTAGTCTAGTGAATCTATTCAGGTCGGTGCGGGGTCCGATTTTCGCCACTGCAGACTTGCCGGTGTCAACTTATTCTTTTACGCCACTGTTTTCTTGATCATGATCAGAATTGGAATCAAGATCAAAATTTCCGTTCTAGTCAGGACTGTTATCATTGAAATGTTTTAACTTTTGAATGGAAATTAGTAACAGAAACACTGAACTTACCTTTGAGCAAGTGAAATGGTGGCCGGCAGATGAGACTAACAGTGGGAAAGGGGCATCTCAACTCCCTTTGACAGCTTGATACTTGTCATGTCTGTCCTGCTACCCAAAGTGAGGCTGTTGGTTTAGTCTTTTTGGCTGCTGGAAGAGCCCTTGAGGTAGGCGATCATTTCAGGTGAAAACTGCAGATCCAGGCATGTGGTTGCAGATAATGAGAGCCTCTACTCTAGTAGTTGATCCCCCATCAGTGAGCGCTGGTCTGTTTTTAATTTTCTAACACAGGAAAAGACTCGCTCACAGCTGGCAGATGAGTGGGGCATGACAAGCAGGCCTGATATCCTCCTGTTGAGCCAGCTTGCCCCAGAATAGGCCAATATCATCTGAAGGTGATGGCAGGGATTCTTTCTCCAGCAACACAATTTGAAGTGATTGGAGTTGGTTTACCACCTCGTCTTGAGTTGAGCCACTTGGAATAAGAATAGGCCACATTGTCATCAGTCCCTTTAAATGGTCTATGGCACCATTTTCAACAAACCTGCTGGGGTTCGTTGAGGCAACTTTTTTCAAGAATGAATTGGTGTGAGGCAGGTTGTCCTTAAGATAGTCACAGACTGACTGATAATAGGAGATAACAGATTTGAAGAAATCATCCTTCTTCTTTCTTGAGATATTTTTCTCCTTCAAGAATGTCTCCACTTCAGATCCAACTTGGATGTCCTTGTGATCTTTCAGATTGTACGCTGACTTGTAATCAACTTCAGACGGAGATTTGTATATCATGCCACTTGGCTTGACAAATTTTTGAAGGGCTTCTTTCATGAGCCTGTTGGTATTCTCATGAAGACTTTTGATCTGAGTGGCCTCTGACGGGTGCTTGGTGAGAAAAGGTTGGAAAGTCTTCACAGCAAACATCAAGAACAGAGCTCAGAGACGAGTTGTGTGGGAACATAAGTTCTCATAAATTGAGGATGCCTTCATGTTAGCAGCTGTTCCTGGTTTTGTATTTTTCTCTTTTTCCTCTTTAAAATTAAAAGAATCTCTCAAGGCTGGCCAGTCAGCAACCAACCTCTTGAGACATCGGGCAATGCTGAGCCATCTGGTGCTCACATTCTTCAAGACTCACTGCTGTTCCTTGCCATAATACTCTTGATATTTCCCTAAATTCATTTGGCGAACACTGCTTTTCTTCATATGATAGTAGATGTCGACCAGAAGATCAGCAGGGGAAGATGGCAGTTTATCTGCAGCTTTCTCAGCAGCTAAGTGAACTAAATGTAGAGTACACCCAGACAGGAAACACTCAGGGTTCTTCTTCTTGATAAATGAAAACACTCCCTTGTGCACACCAGTCATGACACTTGCATTGTCACAGTCAAATGACACACAGTTGGTCCATGGAATGTCTCCTTCCTGAAGCAGAGCATCCAACAGATTAAAAATGTTTTCTCCTGTGCCAGAGACATCAAGGACAGGTAAAGACGCTACTTCTGAATGAACTTCACAGATCTTCACATTAAGTGTTCGAACAACAATGGGATAAAGCTTCACATTTGAGTCACTTGAACCATCTGTTGCGGGTGAGAATGGGCTGGTCTTCATCCTTTCCATAAGGGTGTCCTTGTGAATTTTTGCAATGTATTTGACCATAGCAGTGGCCTTTGTGCGCTTTCAAGAGAATTTCGCTGCAATTAAAGAATCATCAAACATTTCCTTGAAAGCTTCTGTCAGTGTGTCAGCTGCATTTCGATCTACATTGTGTCCTCTGGAAATTCACTTTACACATGTCCCATTTGGCCCTGTCCTTTCGGAGATGGACATAAAACTCGGAGGTCCCGCCTCTCAAATAATCTAATAGTGTTGATAGGGGCGTTAAACCTGTACCATTTTTATAGGACAACGCTTCCTTAGAATGGCAAAGTTCTGTCTGCTGACATTTTTGGCCATATGGAGTTACTAAGACCATGAGGCCAGAAACCAAAGTGTACTGTCACTATCAAAATCATAAGATAATTTAGAGTGGAGTCAAGATATTCAAAGAATTGCTTTTGAAAAAACTTGACATGCTTTGAAACTCAAAATTTTTAATGTAAAATTTCTCAAAACTAGGTAGGCCTACCTACGGAGCAGATAGAACATGCTGGCGTGTGTTGTGCAATGAATAGTAAGGCTGCCTAATGCAGGTAAATGTGCGTTCCGCAAGGAGAGTGTTAATGGGGCTATTGTGTCGTCAGTGCTGTAGGCTCGCTATGTTATGTTTCTTTATAGTTTTTGTGTTGTGCATAAAGAACTCGTTTTTTGTTGTTAACTAATTGACTGCCAGGTGTTAAAATCTCAAGTTAATCCCCACTGCTGGCATTTTAAAGGTGTTTTAGAACAATCATTATCGGATAACTGTAGACACGTATAATTTTATGATTTTCATGTTGTATTTTATTGAGGTGAAAACAGATTTTCTATATGTGTCATACTTTCCTTTGTATGATTATTTGAAATGTCGACAAAAATTTAATCAAAATTACTCGAGCCATGAAGAGGCGCATGACATGAAGCAACAAAGGCACTCTTTTAAAAACCCTTTTTAACAGAGTTATTGGGATCTAGATCTAATTATTATTATTATTACCTGTTCAATTTCACCCACTTTTTTTCTTGCCAAAGGGAAAAGGGAAGACTTTTTATCTTCACTAAATGGGGTGCATTGTTGTACGTCCCCCCCAAAGACCTTACTTAATGTGGTCAGTGGGCTTGCCTTATGGGCCCTTTTAAAGCTATGTTTGTTCTTACCGTTTTATTTTTTAGGTTTTTGTCATGCTTTCTATTTATGATGAAACTGTTTTATTTGCTGCTGTGGTTGTTTTATGTAGTCTTGTGCGTCTTAGCATTACAAGAACAAACAGTTGACAATTGTGTTGTTGTTGTTGTGTACCCAGTCCTCTCCAGCACTCTCACTCACAGTTCTGGGTTGTCTCCTCCTCACCATCACCAGAAGGACTAGTCAGTTGGCTTTTTCTTAAAGTAAAATGCATGATACAACTTTGCCTGGGTGGTAGACAAAGACGAAGTACTCCCAAGTACAAGACGAAGTACTCCCAAGTACAAAGGAGTCACATTGTCTAGACGTTTGGAATCAAGCTTATTCTAATTGTTAGTGAAGGCCTAGGTTTCTTTTCATTCTGGCCATGTGTTGTTGGAGATGAAAGTTAAAATGTGGACTACATAGATTAGAGAGGTTCTGATGTTGCGCTGAGATTACATTTGTATTGACAGTCTTACTGTTGCTTGAAACTAGTTTTACAATGAGAAATTCTGTTTTTTTAAGACTCGTGTTTGCAGCACCTTGGTCTGATGTGTTCATTTATCCGTTGAACTCGCCTGTGTTTCGCCGTCTTTTGTTGAAAATATATAGTGTAAAAGTTGACCATGTTCATGTTCTCATTGTCACAAAGTAAAGGCCTGGTGAATTCAATGTTGAGTATGGTACTTCTCAAAGATTAATTGTAATAATATTTGTTTAATTTATGCGCATATTTATTCTGTGACGTGATTGAAAAGTTCAAACTTATTTATGGAATATTTGGAAATTAAACTTGATTTATCAGATATTTGAATTTGATTTCATTTTTTAAACAATCGGTGGTTTGCTCCTTCTTTCCTTTCAAACTGTTATCGTCCTTTTCTGTCCTCCTTCTTACTTGTCATACCTGTAATCTTCGACACTTATATGACCTTATTGTGTTGCAAGTGCTGTAAAATGCTTACTAAACTAAAAACTGGTTTTAGCAGTTGATGGTCTATTTTGTCACCTTCATCTGCGTTTGATTAAGATTTGTTTGTGAATTTTACATTATCAGTGTCAGTATCCTTCCGCAAAGTCACTGCTTTTTTTTTTACGCCTCGAGTCTAAGGATACACAAGAAATTCTTGATTTCTCTAGTGACCCAGTAGGGGAGAAATGGGTCACCCTCTGAAGAGCCAAATCTGGAGGTCTAGTGCAATTTTTTGCTCATAAGAAAAAAACTTACAAAAATTGTTTCCAGCACAAGGAAACAACTTCCTTTCTTTTTCAGGGCAGTTTGAGTTGAGCGAATGGAGTGGAAGAGATGTTTTCTTCTAGAAAAAGTTTAAATACTTAATTTTTGAAACTCGCAACTTTACTACAGGACCTGGAACTTGATATTATTCCATGGGTGGTTGGCGGGTGCTCTGATGTTTGCTCCTTCTTTCCTATCAAATATCTACTGTCTTTATTTCTCCTGCTTTTCTCTGTATAGTACCCTATAGTAAGAGCCTCTAATCACTTATGAGACCAAATTGTGTTTCTTGTGCTGTAAAAACCTTTACTAAGTGGATGGTTGGTGGATGTTATGCTGTGGTTTAATCCTTCTTTTCTGCCAAACATCTATCGTCCTTATCTCTCCTTCTTTGTGTTTTTTATTCTTTTGTAACACCCCATATCTTAGGCACTTACAAGACCCAATTGTGTTGCAAGTGCCTTGAAATGCTAACTAAAAACTAAACTCTTACTTAAACATGTCTCCAACTCTGAGAGGATTGGCTAATCATTATTAAAAGTACGTAAGGAAAGGTGCTCGGATAGAAGAACCTTTTCTTGAGACAAGGATTGTGTTAGTTTTGTAAAGTAAGGATTTAAGTCCCGTCTTAACACCAGTTATTCAGAGGTTGGATCTTTGAATTTACTGTCCATCTCTGCTGAGACAAGCCAATTGGACTGAAGACCTTTAAAATCCACAAAAAACCTGAGTTGAAGAACACCTTTATGCCTTGGGATTTAAACCAGGGCCATCCGCTCCATTGTTCACCATGATACTAACTGAAGTAACAGTTTTTTTCCCATGAGAAAATACAGTATAACACGGATAGCTCGAATTCATCAGGACCGGCCTTGGCAGTTCGAGGGATATCTTACAAAGATAAAAAAAGAAAAGAAAACAGAATCGCAGGCACAGTTCGACAGATGCCTGATTTCGAGTCTTCAGTGTTCTACTTATCTGTATTATACTGTACTGTATACCCTTTAAAATAGTTTCTTCAACGTTGCTGCTACGTTCATTATTCTTACATTACAAGTATCACTCTGTAAATCCTACATGGTACTTAAAAAAGAAGACATTTGTGTTGTTGCACACAGAAGATAGTGGGTGGTTGGCGGGTGCTCTGGTGTGGTTTGCTTCTTCTTTCCTATGAAACATCTATCATCCTTATCTCCACTTCTCCTTTTTTATGTTTGTTACTCTCTTGTAACACCTCTAATCTAAGCTTCTGGCACTCATACGACCTTATGCAGTTGCGAGCGCCGTAAAACCTCTACTAAAACTAAAAAAACTAAAACAGAAGATATGGTGCGTTAGATTCCTGTGCGGGGAGGATTTTTTCATTGAGTAGAGTACATTATACAGTATCTTCATTTGTCTGCCGAGATGTACAAATGTATCCCACTCAGCTCAGGTTGGTACTGACAATAACTGGCACAGTCGAAGCAACGCGCCTTTAAGTGATCTAAATTGTATCGATGGAGGTGGAAAACATTTTCAAAACGCCATCCTCTCCCCCACAAAACCCTAAACCTAACAGCACACTTAGCTCATGGTTGAAAGTTTTGCCACTGGTGGGTCCTACTTCTTTCTTTCCCCTCTTTTTTTTCTGTACGTCTATCTTGCTTTTCCCAGGCACTAAATGACTTACTGTGTTAATGTGCTTTTCTTTACTTCAAGTAAAGTCAAAACTCAGTGCACTGACTAAACAAAAAATACATACAAGCATATATCACAGGGATGATGACCAGAACCACCAAACACCAATGGGAGACATTTTACATCAGAACAGTTTATTACATCGTGTTATGATTTGCAAGTCTATCAAATATGGAATAAAAGAGAGTGAAAATGAAAGCTGGAAAGAGAAAAAACTGACAACCCTTCGTAACCTACATGTTCAAGCACTGAGTTTAAAAATCAAATTTAGGGAACCATATGGCCAATGCTGCTCTATTAATTGCTCCATAGACAACGTTCATATTGCTACAGGTACCTATGGATAAACATGCTGACTATAACTAAAAGTATGACGTAAAAGTAAAAGTGGAAAAATCTCATTTTAAAAAAAGAAGAAATTTCTTACCTTTTAAAACAGCACTTAAAAAGATGAGGGACCTATATTATAGATCAGCAGCTATGAAGAGGCTGAGCAACTAGTCGCAGAAAGGAGAATATGGAAAAAATCCAACTTTAAAGTAAGAGTTAGAGAGGAAAATATAATAAATGCTAGCTTTACAAAAATGTGTCTAGATTTTCCCAACCTTTAACCCTAAGAGCATAGACATGGCAATATGCTACACCACTGGAGAGAAAACTGACAGCTTATTGTATCTAAAGCAGACGGCATAGTTTATGTGCACCATCTGATTGATGGTGACAGTTATTTAGAATGAAGAAGAGGAAGAAGCCAAGCCTACTTTACATAAGTAAGTTTAGAAAACATGCTGTACAACGACAAGTCAGTATGATAGTATGAATATGAATGAGCATTGTTTTCAACAATATCATGTCAATAGACTCATGATACCCTGGGTCCATCCTGTATACCTAAAAATGAACACTTAATCAAGTTTTAACGTAACATGAACACAAGCTATATATATATATATATATGAAAATTTGACGGACCTCTTAGAGGTAACTTTTAAAAACTTTTTATGAGAAAGTAAACTTTTCTTCAGGACAGCTCAGCCGACCTTGCAAATTATATTTTGAAAAGGCATCAGAAACTGAAAGACGGAGAGATCTAACTAGTATTAATATTACAACTGAAACTACAGGAAACAAACAAAATTCACAGTCTGCATTACATCACTGAACCAAAATCCATGCCCCTGTCTCTGGGTCCTTTTTGTATGTTCTTGGCTTCCCATTGGAGAAAAACGAGCTGAGGGGATTGGGAAAGTTCTTCATCTGCAACAGCGAAGCTCTGACATTCTCTTCAAAGCCCTCAGGCTCCTGGGCTGGTGATGTGGACAGATACTACGGAGAGAAAAGGAATCGTAATATTGTATTTTCTACTTGATTAGGTGGCACAAATTAAGAGACAGTTCAGAGACAAAGATGTTTTTTCAACTCCAGACAAAAGAGAATCAGCAAGCTATGGTCGTTGTCTTTTAAATACCCATAACCCTTGGAAAAGGAATTGTATTTGATTTTCTTCTTGACTGGGTGGAACAATTTAGGAGACAGCTTAGAGACAAAGATGTTTCAATTTTATCAACTGCAGTCAAAAGAGAATCAGCAAGCTGTGAATGCTGTCTTTAAAAAGTCCTCAACCCTCAAGGAAGACAAAAATCAGAGTACAGTGTTTGATCCAGATCTTTTGTTTGATAACATGCATGTGACGCAGATTTTTAGAAGGACTTCAAGAGTTGATGTTTCAATGGTTGTTGATTTGGTGGCTCCCTTATATTATATAAAAGAATATTTCAAAGAAGCATGTTCAAATGTTGAAATACAGTGAGTCTGCTTAAACTGAACACAGTTAATCCAAAAACAATGATGAACCAAAAGAAAGTAGAATCCCCAATTTTTTTCTTCTGTTTGAGTAACCTCACCAAAACCGAAAACACAGATGAACAGAAGAAAATCTGGTCGTCCTGGAAATCTTTGTTCAAGCAGATTTCACTGCATACTTTCTTCCTTCCTTATGAAAATAAAACATTTGAGAGAAAGACTCATGAAAAGTGGCTGTTTTTTTTCTACTTCTTTTTTCAGCAGAAGGGAGGAACGTATGGCTATCACTATATATAATGAACAAAAACTCACTTGACGGATGGCCTTATTGGGCATGGACAAGAAGACATCTAGATTGGAAAGTTGATCATAGCCAAACGGACCAATCGCAAGCTGCTTTGACTCACTGTCATAGATCACAATGTTCTGGGGAGATGAGTGGACGTTTCATGGTGACGCGAAACAGCCTTACAATACAGTGGTCAAAACGAATGACTTGTTGGAGCCAAAGAAGAGTTTCGTAAGTGAAATTCAAATTCAACATGTAAAGAACATACCATTTGAAATTAAACTAAAATTCACCCCAGAAGAAAATGCCATTTTAACTACTTTCTCAATTACAATGTCCACTGATCACATTAGAAAAATTTCTCACAACAAAAAATTCAATATCAACGCATGAACATGAATTTCTGGGAGCATTTAAAAACTTCACTCTCACTGACTTCAAACACGTTTTCATTGGCCACACAACAGGAACTTTGTATTATGTAGGCCTACTTTTACAAATTAAAACACTTCTAAAATTAACTAGACCTCTAAAAGTAAAAGTCTATGGGAATTATGTCCTCACACATATTCTAAGAATACCGAAAGACAGATTCTAATTGAATGGCACAGTGACCTGGTATCCTCAGCAGAGTTGTGTTGGCTTGGGAGTTTAGATCACATAGGAGAGAAAGGAGTTGTTGTACTTGAGCAGATTGTGGCTTTTGGAGAGCTTGTAGGACAGATTTGGCATCTGTGAGGATGATGGTGTTGGCTTTAGATTTTTGGTGATGCAAGAGAATGGTGGCTGCTGTTTTGAGTGCTGATGTTTCTGCTGTATAGTTGGAAGAAAGAGATCGTGTAGGGATGGAATAGCTCTCTATTGACCCATCTATCCACTCTATGTAGATACCTCCACCTCCGTTTCTGACTGCTTCAGTTGCTGATCCTTCTATGTAAACTCGATTTGACTGGTTGCTTGGGAAGTTTAGGGAATGGCAAATTGTACAAATTATGTGTGATTTTGAGTTTTCTTCGTTTACATTAACTGTGCCTGACTTTATGTGGTTAGAGTATAACACCATCATCATCATGATTATATGACCAAATTATTGACAGCAACAAGGTTACAGCAAACTGTAAGTCTCATCCACACCCACCTCACGGCCTCCTGTGAAGTGTCTGGCACTTCTCAGACTTTGATCTGGACCTTTGTCTGTGAATTTGGCTCGGAAAATCTCACCCGTCTTCACATCACATGCTGGAAAGAAAACACTTTGCTTTATCAATGTTTTGTAAACAACACAGTCAAAGTTCAGTTGAAGCATCTCTATCGTTACAAGTTACAGGAAAAACAATCAACTTAACTATTCTTACTCACCCTGTTAAAACAGTGTTTTAAATGAAGTATCTCATTTGTCCTTTTGCCACAGACTATACTAGGCCTATAAGTGATCACTATCAAAGGGAGAGAAGAAAACACACATAAAAAGAACTATTTGAGAGTAAAACATTCGGAATTTAACCTATATTATCCCCTTTCGAACCCAAGATCATTCGTAACTACAAGAGCGTCTAAAAAGGTTATTTGAATGGGTGTAACTACTCGTAATGTCTTATCAGCTTAAGAGAGAGAGGGTTATGTTCATGTGTTCGTAACACTTCGTAAAAAGAAAAAGCTATAAAAGATAGAGTATTATTTTCATCATTGATTAACACACTCCCACGGTATTCACGGAGAAAACACATGTTTCCAGTGCCGCTCGCTGTTCACCAACAGTACATGCTGACTGACCCCGGCGGCCCGCCCGGAATGTCCCAAGTAAGAGGCTACTGATAAGATTCGCATCTCAGCACAAGACGCAGGATAAGAGTTTTTAAAAAACTTATCTTGAATTCCACCCATCTTACCTATACCATAAATCACAGGAAATGGTACTCCTTTCTCATCATATGTAGTGTTGAAATCTGAAAGAGAAAAAAAGTTAACAACAGTATTAGAAGTTAGAAATCGGTGAAATCTTTACGAGTACATCTAGTACTCTCAAAACAATAAACACCTGTTCAGTTTTAAAGTAAAGTTAGCAAAAAGTTTTTTAAATAAATTCCAAATGAAAACAAAAGTTGGATACCACCATTGCTGGATGTTTTACCCTTAGACTCAGATTTCCGACCTGAACTCATTAAATAAACTGTTATAATTGATCTAAAAAACAACATGTGTAAACATAATTATACGGTACTTATTAGGTACTGTGGCTTTTAAGGTGTTGTACATACGTGTGATGCAGGCAGTCACAAGGTGAAGATCATTGGGGTTGTTGCACATAGCGTCTGGTGATCAAAGAGTGAGGAAAAATGTAAATAGTTTGTAAGGTTTAGTTTTAGTAAGAGTTTTACACTTGCAACACAATAAGGTCATATAAGTGTCGAAGAATAGATGAGTTACAAAAGAGTAACAAACACAAAAAAGAAGGAGGAGAGATAAGGACAACAGATGTTTTTTAGTTTTAGTAGAGGTTTTATGACGCTTGCAACTGTATAAGGTCATATAAGTGCTGAAGAATAGATGTGTTACAAAAGAGTGTAACAAACAAGGATGACAGATGTTTGATAGGAAAGAAGGAGCAAACCACACCAGACCACCCGCCAACCACCAACAGTTTGTAAGAAATCACAGCATAGAAAGATTACATACATGATGAGAGCAACTAAGATCTGAGGCAGAATGCAATGGGGTTTATATATCTGGCTAATTCTTCCAGCCTTTTCTCCGCAGACATATATTTTAGGACCAAAACATGAGATGGAGAGCCCCAAAAAAAGAAGTAAAATAGAGAGAGATACTGACAGTGGACAAAGTTGTTAAGACTTAAGTAGAAAAGAAGACAATAACAAGAAAAATGCAGAAACTTTAAAACCCCCAAAAATTACTGTAAAAAAGACAGATAAAACAAAACAAAATGAAAGAATCCAAGCTGAATAAAATGACAAATAAAGAGATTATTTACGTAACATGATTGTTGGTATGGTATATGCAGAGCGTGGTATTTTAGTTATAAAAAGGCAATTTCATAGACAAAAAGGTAAAATTATTCACTTTTTACATCAAATCTAACTTTGCAGTATGTCTGTATAAAGACACTGGGTTATGGTTCAACAGAGTTCCACCAAAAGCAGAAACATGAGTACAGCCCACCCCCACACGAATCCATGAGAACCAGCTTGCCTAAGACAAGAATTTAACTTCCATACAATAATGAGGCATGTGAGTAACTGATCAGTTATGGCACAGTAACCTCTTTCTGTACCTTTTATGGGACAGTAAATGATACTAACACCAAGCCCAGGACCAGAGCTGATAGTAACACTTACCTAAAACTTCGTCCGACACTTCATGAGAATTATGACGTGGATCAAGGAAACCTCCAACAAGGTGTACCTCAAATCTGAGGGTGACAAGACAGATCAAAGAAGGCTAATATTAAAATGAAACTCATGTGTATTAACATACTCAAGTTTGTAAATCATAAACTAGGGTGTTCATAACTGAAAAATTGTCCAACTTCTTCCTTGATGTGATCAGAGAGAAGAAAAAAAATCCATCACAAAGAAACAGAACAAAAAATACTGAATGCTCTAATCAGCTAAAAATCCTTTTCTTAAAAATTCCACAAACATTCAGGCCGAAGGGCTAGAACCCAAATGGTCACTGGATCAGAAAAGAAAAGTAAAGTAAAAATTCCACACCCAAAAGTATCTTAACAAAAAGGAAAAATATAAATGAAAAAAAAAAATATTCATCCTGAATACACACAATGAAACATTGACAAAATAAGTCTGAACCAAAATTTCTCAGTTCTTTTAAATTTGCCTTCTTCAAACAATAAAACATGTGCAAATGTCCACTTAAACTGAGTAAACAATTGCAGATTGAAGAGGTTTATTTTTCTTGTTAGCCTTTGAGCATTTTTTTGTAGTTGCAGACCCTTGTGAATAGAGATGTCTCTTTATTATCTGAAAATTTCAGCTACATGTCGGGAGTTGCAAGTTTGGACTCCTTTCTTACAAACTCTCCAGACATCATGACAAGTACTTGTGCTTACCTGCCTGATGATAAGTCTGCAGTCTGTTTCTTTACTAAGGAAACCATAGTGTCAAGTCCTTCAGGTATAGAAGAGCCATCAAAGTGTATCAAGCTTGTTGCACCTGATCCTAGAAACATCCAGTCATTCAAGTTAAATTATTATTTTATCTAATTTAATCTACGCAGAGATTGAGCATTACATCAAACACTGATTTCAATGTAAAACCTGGGCTTTTGACAAACAAAAATTTTAATTTATGATCAAAATTTCTCTCACCATCCACACATATTTTTTTTGCGGAGTAAACTGTATATCACAAGTTGAGAAGAGGGTATAATATGATAAAACTGACGCAGCAGAGTCTCCTAAATTAGATTTCAAACAGCAGCATTTATAAATTGAATAGGAGGTAGAAAATCCAACTCAAAAACACCCATTTAATTACTTTAAAAAAAACAACTGTACTCTCAAGGACAACCCAAGACATGGTTTAATGATAGCACTACAGAGTAAAGTGTTGTGTAAAGTTGTAGCTACCTAGTTGACACAGTACAGCCGAACCTGCGTAAAACAGAATCGTAAGGGAGCCAGAAAAAAATATTCCGTCTTAGACATTTTCCATCTTAGACAGGAGAATTTAGTGGGGAGATGGAATGGGGGGGTTCAAAGGCCCAGCTGATGGGATCGAGGGTTGCTTGTCCAGTCGGCAAGTAATCATAAGCGGTCAAAACTTCAGACCCGTCAGCTGCTATCCTTTCTGATAATGACATGCGTAAGTTTTATTTATACAATTACCACCACTGCTTGTACTTCATAGGATCACTGTTTGACCTATTAAAAACAGAAACGTTGGACCATCTCCTTTGCTTCCATCCTTAGCTCCACCCAATGGTGTATCAAGCACAGTCAACCAATGCCACCCCTCACTGCCATGTAACAACGATTCGAGGAACTCAAACATATTCATCAGAAATTACACAAAAATAATAGAATGTAGTTCTGGGTTTCAATAAAAGAGTCAGAACATAAGGTGATCAACAGCGAAAAAGGCAAAACATCAATACAAAACCTGAATGCCTTAGAACTGCTATATGGCATGTTGTAGCATCTTCGGAACCCAGGACAGAGATGACATCTGAGGAAAACAAAATTTAAAAATTAACACCAATATTTAGGCATACTGACAAACTTTTACTTTTACTTTTGTCCAAAACAGTCACACATTTGATCAAAATAAAACAATGAAACAATATATATATATATATATATATATATATATATATATATATATATATATATACATGTACACCTGCATGTCAGTTTTGGGGTATACAGAGTTATAGATATGATCTGTCTATTTGCCATGCTTCAGATGAATAAAATACCAGTCAGTCTTGAATATAAGTCAAGATATTTGTGACTGAAGGAGTTGGGAGTCTTCTGGTGTAAGAGGTCATATTAGCATTAAAATGACTGCCAAAGTGTGTTGATTTCCATTTATCAGTAAAATCCACACAGAAATGTGTTTTAAAAAGGACAAAATTAAAGTTGAGCTCCCCCCCCCCCCCCCTCCCCCAAAGTAAAAAACTAATAGAACAACAAACAAACAAAAAAACAAAATCCCCCCCAAAAAATCCGATAAAATTTGCCAAATGGTCAAAAAAATATTGATTACTTCAATTCCATTATTTTGAGGAGTACCTGATTTCCCCATGATACCACACATAGGCCTCTAGAGCTACAGTGGAAACCTGACATAACAGGGGTGGTGGGACCAGAGTAAAAGTCATGTTATATCAGATCCCTGTTAAATCAGAAATGCAAGGGAAGTAAGCATTTGTGGACTAATCCAGCTGTATATATTCATGGGTAGTTTCCCTTGCCACCAGTACCCAGGAACAGGGGTTTTGGAAATGCGGTAGGCCTGCACATGACACATTATGCGGGCGTGTAGCTAGGCTTAGGGCTAGAAAGAAGTCTGCAGAATACTGCAGCCCTCTCTCGCTTCACACGATGCATGTGCTTGCAGTGGCGTGGCTTGCTCTATCGCTACGTTACTCTCTCTCTCTCTCTTTCTTACTTTTTACACATTGTTAATAAGCCTTTGTCCCTGCTATAACCGAATGGGCTCCGATGAGGCCCTGTTATAGCCAATAATTTTTAATAGAGACAAAGAGTAGAAAAAAACGGGGATTCAAAAAATCCCTGTTATAATCTGCTCTCTGTTATTACCGGGCACGTTAATTATGGTTTCCACAGTAGTATTTTTCAAACTCAGTAACAAACTATCCATGATTGTGTTAAATGATCAGGCCAAAGTAAGGGCTTAGTGAAAGTTTATCTTTAAAGAAAAGTAATGTGATTGTCAAAAACAGTCCTAGTTGCAACTGGAGATAGAAGGAAAATTGGGTAAATACAAGAAAAAAGAGTATAAATTCCCCCTTGACAGAAACTGCATCCAATCCAGTTGGGCCAGGAACCAATCTCATCATAACTTTCCAAAACTAAGTCCTGCATGAGTACTTTGAAACTAGACTAACATCTCTGGGCAAAGCAGAACACCAAGTAAGTTATCTGCAGGTTCCTTGAGACCCACAACATTGACAGCTTGTACAAAGAAGTATGGTACGTATCAACCATTTCAAAGGATTTCCATCTTTTACTGTTCAGTAATTGGAATTATCAGAAAAGTCTATTCAGGGTTTATATAATTACGCAGGAATATGTATAGAACTCCAAGCCTGTATTCAGGTTTCTTTGATATAAAATGAGTACACCGTTGAAGATGAAAAATATTAGTATACACAACAAAAGTGTTTTGAAGCTTTATATGAAACACATTTGAACCTGTCGTAGCTGACGACTGATAGTCGAGGAGAAAAGTTTTGTCATCTCAGACAGTTGGTCCCCTTGAACAATGTTATTATAAAGTAATAAAGGAGAAAAAAACCCTAACAAATGGATGAAAGTGAGAAGTGGTCCTTTATGCAGGTGATTGTTTTCAACAGTCGGTCATTAAAGCAGGTTTGATTGTACTTAATAATGCAAGGATCACAGATTTCTGTAAAATAATAATTCTGGAAGAAAATCAAATGAAAGAATCTCACCATCTGCAGGACTTGTGCCAGCCACCTCTCTCTGTCCAATATACAGCAGCCCTTTGGGACCTACCTCCCGTATTTGTTGACCCAGCAGGTCTTGGGAAGATTCCTATAGCAGGGGAAAATCGGATAAAAATATCATGAAATAAGTATTTTTGTTTTTACATAAACACACAACTTTTCGCAGGCGTACAAATCAATGATAGGTTATAAAATTTGTGGCATTCTCCTGCATGTCAGTAACATTATGAGTAAAATTTTCATTACCTGAGCTACTGAGGAGCTCCCAAATGCTACGAGCCCTTCACAAAAGGTAGGTTCTCTTAGAAATGCTGCAATCTAAATAATTCTTGAAAAAGTAAATCTTTAAGCTCTTTTCACTTTAATGAAATCTGTCGTGATAGTAGGAGTTCGTTCTTTCCATGTTCAAGTAGAGAAGAAGAGGAGATATTTTATAACCAGGAAAAGTCAGTATTTGGCAGGTCTGGTAAAAGTAGTCTAGTATGCACACAACGAAATATTCGAGAGATGTGGAAATCTCTTTGTTTTGAGTACAAATTTGACTGTGTATGTGTTTCAAATACAAAGAATACATGAAGATCTCTGTAAGAAAAAAATTCCGGACCTGTAAATGTGTTTGCTAATTTTAAGTGCGTGTTTTACTATCTATGCGCATGTCTGTTCGACTGTATATAAAAATTGTGCCCCCCCCCCATGCCCCCTTAGATTTCAGACTGAATTTAACGTAGAACCTATAATTAGACACTGGAAACGTAGCTTAGCATTTTATGTGATGTCAGGGGACATGACTCTTATTGTTATTATGGGACAGTATAATTATGGGAGTAGCGTGCCCTTGGATCACGTAACATAGAAAGGCGTGGAATAGGCCGTTAGACGTCTGATACACACTCAGTGAGAGTCAGTTGAGCACAGATCGACAAGAAAAACAACATCGATCCTGGATGGGGGCCCCCCTGAAAGACCAAGACCCTAATTTACATTTAGTCTAATTTGTTTCAACGCTGGACAAACATCAGCAGCTTAATCCTATCCGTACGCCCTGGGGTCATTTTGTACCCCCGGGCTGTATTTTTCATATTTTAGAATACTTCTAGTGCGAAGATCTCTTTGAAACTTTTTCAGTATTTCTAAAAAAATCATGGCCGGCTCTATTTTTCTGAATGTTCGTGAAAATAAACTTGAACTCTTTTTCTCCGAACGGTTTCCGTTCTCAAGATTTTTTGGTTAGCCAGCCTATTTGTGAATGGTGTGGCTGCGCGCGCGTGCGTGTGTGTGTATGTGTGTGTGAGGGGGTGTTTGTGTGTATAAAAGGTGTGAACGGGGGTGAGGGCGGAGGGGGTGGGGGTGTGGAGGTATTTTCTTTTTTTTTTTTTAGTTTTTGCTTTAGGGGTGACTAATGCAAAATAGGTTACTGCCAAAGTCCAGCAGTCTTGTTTTCTCGCAGTACCTTTTGAAGGTATTTTCAAATCAAAATGAAGTATAGTCCAGGAACGTTGCCTCAACCACAACTGAAGTATCTGATTCAGACATCTAAAAATCTCTAGCTCTAGAAATTGAACTCGATAAAAAAAATGCTTCCTTACCCCAGTCCTTGCAGAGTGGCAGAACTAAAGATGATACTGCACTCTCGTAAATAACCAAAAAATCTCGAGAACGGAAACCGTTCAGAGATAGAGGTCAAGTTTATTTTCTCGAACATTCGGAGAAATATATATAGTCACTTCGAAAAATTATTTTGACAAGACTGCTATGTAGCCTAAAGCGTACGAATCGGACTAACGAGTAAATTTCCTTTTTGGAAAGTGGTGGCACAGAGTTCCCCACGTCGTATGGGTATGATTATAAAAGGGTTTAGTGCCAGCAACCTAGCATGAGACAGCTTTGGGAATCAGAGATGATGTTTTCATCATTATTGTATAATGTAGTGCAGGACACAGTATGATATGAGCGAACAGCAAAGTACAGAGGCCAGAAATTAATACCTCTTTGGAATCTAGATCTAGAATCTAGATCTAGACTTAGATCTAGATATCTAGATCTAGATCTAATCTAGATCTAGATCTAGATCCTAGAGATCAGAGATTTCTTACCACATTACAAGTCTCCGAGGCGGAGGACTGACCAAGAAGACAGACAAGACAAGTTTCTAAACAATAAATATGAATATACCTTGAAGTGTGAGTATGTCACAACAAAAGCATCGACAGTGGGCACTTTTTCAACTTTGACTCCTTTTATGAAAAGCGGCATATTTATTTATTTTGTGTGTGTGTGTTCACACCATAATAACTTGAATGCTGAAGCGACCATTCGCAATTCCAAATTTCGTTGCCGTTTAACTACAACAACAAACCCAAAACAGTTATAAATTTCTATTTTTTACGGTAAGGGGTTATAATATCACCATCCATTATTTTTCGTTATATTTGATATGTCTGTTATGAGATACTAACTGGAACTTGAACAATAATTTTTCCCACAGCAGAATTTTATCACTGCTGTTATTTCAACGAGTTTATGAATATTTAATTTGAAGTACCTTTTTATCTATTTAAAAGAAATTGAAACCCGAAAAGACTTTTAGGGGAAGAAAACTACATTATCACCGCTTCTGACCTTTCAGCTCAGGTCATCGCAGCGCAGCGGAAGTTTGTTTATCAACATTCAATCATTCTTTCACTATTTTTCTGTGATCGAACAATGCCCACGAAGTTTGGGTATAGAATATACTTCCTCAATCGATCCATTTCTTTGTGATCGGCTCAGTATTACAATGCTTTGTATTTTGATAAGGTAAGGCACCGGCACAGTTTGCTAGCAATGTGATCTCCGTTTTTATAGATCCAGCATAGACAAGACGTGAGACGACTTTATTTAGCCAGAAAGCTCTCTTCTAGATTTAGATTCTAGATCTAGATTTCTAGATCTAGATCTATACTAGATTCTAGATCTAGATCTACTTCTCGCTTTTTTCCACTCGCCTTCTCTGTCTCTCTGCAGTCCCCCATCCAGCTGATTTTTGGGGCAGTCTTCCAGATCTGCACCTTTTTTCACATGTTGCCGGAATGCAGCAAACATGAGAATTGTAAGACCTGTTGTACATACATACACTCAGTCCTGCAGATCTGGAAGATTTTAAAGCCGTCCCATTCACACCTTTGTGCTATTGAATTGGATAGGCACCAGTGAAGTCATCACATAGGCTACCTCCACTAATCTCGTCACATGGGTTGGGGCAAATTTGGCCATGGGGAACTTCAATTCCGCCTCAACCTAGACTTGGCTTTTGCGTATCATTTGACCCATGTGTCGTTGCGCTTTTGATTTCATCTAAAAATAAAATCTGTGCTTCCTAGGCTTCCACTTTTTTCTATTTTTAGTCTAAAAGCTCCAGAAAACTCATCTCCGCGTACTTTTCACTGTTAAAGCTGGTGCAAATTCGACAGGGCGAAATGAGTCAACTTCGACAGGGGGTGAAACAAAAGTTAGGTCTTCTGTCAGATTAAATAATTGGAAGGGAAAAAAGCCCAGAAAAAGAGGAAGACAGACAACTGTAAATTTATAGAAAAGGCCCAAACCCATTTTTACGCCAGCTTTTTTTTACTGGACTTCCGTTTTTGTTTCCGATTGTGTACATAGATCTAGAATCTATACTATGTATAAATTTGTAAGGCGTTAGGTCGGGACCACTTCTCCAGAAGAGTGCCGTTCACTGTTATTTGGATACTTTTTTTCCTGTGAACTCACCGCACGTTTTTCAGCTGTGACGACTTCTCCGTGTGACGAGTTCTCTGGTTCCCATGCTATTCTAACCTCTCTGATTTATAATGGCATGTGTCAGTCTTACTATCCATTGCCACCAGTGCTTGCATCTCATGACTACCGTTTGACCTTCTATTAAAAACAGAAAAGATTGAAGATCTTGGTTTTCACACTTATAATCTCTTTTATCTCCACTCACGAGTTTAAGCAATCGACCAGTGCCTCCCCTCCCACACATTATGTAACAAATATATAATGGGGGAAATTTTTTCTCGGTTGACCATACGATCAAGTTGGCAGGCATTGGGCAAATTAGTTTCAAATCTCTGGCTACTCAGGAAGGTTTCTCTGTGTTGGAATGCTACTTCCATCACCCTGAACATCTGCACAGCATAGGGCTCACATATATATTATTTGTAGTTGTAGGCTATGTGATAACACATACCCCCAAGTGGCACCCTTTCTCCCTTCCTAGCAGCATGGTGAAAAGGTTAGAGACGATGGAAACAAACTTAGGAGTTTTGTTTCAAATGAAGGCTGAGTGGGCAAAGCCTTTTCTGTAAGACAGGTAAACACCCTCTGAGGCAAAGGAATTCATCTTTTCTTTTCTGGGTTGAGTAGGTTTCCGTTTTGTAGAGAGTACTTGTAGAGGAATTTATCAAGGGGTAGTGGAGGGATTCTGTTACGACAGGTTTCCATCTTAGAGAAGGCAGGTTCGGCTATATGGTTTCTGTCTTGATTGTTATGTTATGATGGTTTGATCTGCCTCTCAC